TTTGCCGAAATGTGGGTTGGGTTCCCATAGAGTTTTTTATATCTGGTGCGTCAGCCCGTAAAATTTCAAAGATGGCGGTTACATCTAATAGAGTTTCGTTGACAGATTTTAAGCATTTTTTGTGCTAGTTTTTATGGCATTTTTTGATCTATATTCTTCTTATTTAAGCTTGTTTTATCTCTATCAATATCATTGATGGAGAAATGGTAGTCGATCTCCTGAACGATTCATTCGCAGAAGAGACAACGCTGAAATTTGATGAAATCATAGGATTTCATGCAGAAAAACATCAATTTTTTGTGACTTAGTCTCTAGGAGGATGCGTCGCTCTCTGTAACAATTACCGTTACTTGTAGCGATGTGCTCAGATAGAGGGAAATGGGCACCGTCATCCTATAGGGTGGAAGAAATAGAACAAGATACAACATAATTTATGATACAGTGTCCTCATAGGAACTGCTAAATGATGAAAATATACCCATCATATCACAGCTCGCATTCAAAGTCACACATCTTGCCACGAATTTTATAACCCTGACCGCATAACTCATTACTGTGATATCCAAAGTAGATCATATTACCACGTGCGTGTCAAAATGATATTTGGCCAGTTATCAGTGTCTGCTGTTACACATTTATGCTTTTAAAGAATTTTTTTAATGTTGTTATACTTAATCTGTGTTTTAAGATTTATCTATACATTTGTTTAGAATTATCTGTGCATCATATGTTTCACACTTTTATTACCCAGCCGCAAGGTTTGAGAGTTAAGAGCCGGTCATTTCATGGCAGAATGCTGGTGAGAAATGTTGCATTCTCATTGTTGTGCTGGTTCGGGGATATTCTTATGACTGTATGAAATGACTTAAAAGCTTAAGTGTGTAACAGCAGATACTGATAATTAGCCAAATATTGTTTTGACAAATGCGTAATAACACATAAACTACTTTGGATATCACAGTAATGGTCAGGGTTGTGTTATTCCTGGCATGGGAAACAAGAAGATCGACTTACAATGTTAGTGGTGATAGTGAGGTATATTTTCATTATTTAGCAGTGATTATGAGGCCACAGCAGCTTAAACTATGTTTTATCCCATTCAATTTTTTCTACTCTAAAAGATGGCGATGTCCATTTCCCTCTATCTATACATGTTGCTCTAAGTAACTTCTACCACACATGGATATAGTTTCGATTATGACAATCGGGACTTCCCAGACAATATTCATATCATCAGATTTATGTGAGTGTGATGAAAATGAATCTGATAATCATTTCCGTAGCAATCACAGCCGACGATCTTGATATGTTAAGTCCTGATAGCAGTGGAGGGCATGAAGTATATCAGAGAAATTATAAGGTAAAACAGGCTTAAATAAGAAGAATATTGAACATAAATGCATGGGGGAAGTGATTTCACTCATACCATGCATTTCAAAGAGCAAAAGAATGTAGAAAATCGAAGATCCGAGCCAAGAATATAATTTCAGATGATCAAAAGTGGAAATTGTAAAAACCCAAGAGAAGATTTGGCCACGGATGATTTGCCACGGTGTTGTACGAACGAACGAGCGAGTGAACCGCATCTTAAACACACAAACTACCAATAAGATAGCCATATAAACCAAAAAAAACTCCTAACCCGAGGGCTATGCCCCTAGACCCCCGCCTGATTGGCATATTTCCCTAACAGGGGCTTTGTCCCCTGATCCCCTAATGATTACTGTATTTCTTTGCCAGGGGCTTTGCCCCCGGGCCACCTCCCACTTGTCTAACTTCCCTACTGGTGCCTGTAGATCGCTACTAACTACTGGACTTTGTTGCTGGAGGCATGCGGCATTCTGCGCGCCACAATTTCATCATTTAACTTGAACATGTACGCTTCTGCAAGTCAATTTTGCTAGCATTGAATGTAGTTTTTCATTGCCTACAATGCTATGATAATTAATTTTCTCCTAGTCAGTGAGGTCTGATCATAAATCTTAACCATTATAATTACATATTTATTCCATTCTATTGATATTTTCCCAAGTTCCTTTTATGCCCTCTCCTTCTATAGGGGCCAAGATTGAGGCTGAATACTCATGCGATAATTATATGCCTCTCCTTTACAAAGTTATTTGCGTGTAAGTTTTTAGTATTTTTGCCATTTTCTAATGTTCATATTTGTCTTTCAAATTGCTTTATCCTGATGGTAATAGACTGTTTTCCTTGCACAGACTCCATATCATCTCTCTCTTTATAGTAAACAATAAATGTGTAACATTTGGTATTTGTCATGTATTTTAAATATTTGTAATATTCAGTTTTTTGTAATACAACCTGCACTGCAGGTCATGGCAACCAGAAATACAATGCTGTGCTTGGAAATAGTGTCCTCCCTGGAGCTAATGCTATTCCAGCTATGGTTTACTGATATTACATTTCACACTCATTATCAGTGGGAATAATGCTAAAGCCCCTTTCTAAATCTCAAATGAGTATCATTACCCACCAAGAGGTTTGTGTACTCGTGGCAAGCCTTTTCCATCACCCTGGCCTTCTCTCATGACAGCAAGTTCGCATTACCCAGCCCACAGTCTTTTTTGCCCATGATGGCATGATCATGTTAGCCCTATGTCCATGTCAAGCCAAATTTTTTCATGACGTGATGGTCTTTTCATCGGGATTGAAGGAGTCAAGACAACTGTAACAACATCTAAAAGAAATATAATAATATGAGTACATAGATATGGGAAAGTAGATCAGTGCAGTTACATTATAATTAATAGTTATGCATGAGTGATGTATCTTTGGTCGTAAAAGAAAGTGTATAAAAGGAAAACCCAGATCCAAGGTTAGGACAAGGAAAATTTCACTTGGTGTTGTGCTAATATACAAACACTATCTTAAATGCACAAAAAGACTGGCCTGTGAACCAGAAACCTACCTGAAAAGCGGCTCTGCCACTGAACCTTTTCCATATTCCCCTTGCTGTGGGCTTCTCCTGTGGACCCCCTCATTTACTAATATGTCTTCCTTCACCTGACCCATACCTTCTTTATAAATATTAAGTATAGATTAAGGAAAGTGTATTATCACAGGTTTTCCTATATTTAAGGTAACATATTTCTCTTCCTTTTTCCAGCTTGGAGAAGGAACAGACTGACGTTGCTCGGGTGTCTCAGGAGTCAAGCCAGAAAGTCCTTGAACTGCAGCGCAAGATCCAGACAGCTCGTGAACAGGTGAGACAGACTGTTAGATATTGAATGTTGGAAAATAAGGAGAGATGCAGAATGCTTTGAGATTCAATGGTCTCCTTTTCAATATATTTCCTTTTTTGACTCCTTTTCCCTGTTTTAAAATTCTTTTATTTGCCTTAACTTAAATACTGAGACCGACCCTACATTATGGCATGCATCTAATGCCTTGTGTTTAGAATGATATTCATGAAATAAATAGGGTTAAAGTAAGAGCCTATATTCCTCTTTGTATTGATATTTGTATGTCACTGCTCATCAGGTGAGAAAGCTGCCAGGTGTGGAATACAGTGGAGAGGAACAGCTCCGTCGCCTTGAGGCTCTCAGGAAGCAGCTGGCACTGAAGAAGCGACTGCTCTTGAAGTACAAAACCAAGAGTGAAGCCCCTCACTAGAAGCTAATTTGTTAGTGTTCTCTAATGAGCAAGATTCAGCCTTGTTTTTGATATGGTGATTCTGGAAAAACAAATTTGTAATTTGAAAATATCTTTTCTGGTTGAGTGATGGTTTGTTTGCTATAAGCCTTTATAGGCATTACCCCTTGTGAGGATACCCTCTCTAAATCTCCCTATCTCTCACCTTCTTCCATTCCCATCAACTTCCCATTGCTTCTCTATAGTAATTAATGCTTTCAACCCCTTTTACAGAAGCTGAACTTGCTATGGTTTTACGATATCTCCTGAGCCGGATCCTCAACAACCCTGAAGTTATTGAGAAGCTCTCCGAGTCATATCCCATCCGCCGTGCAGCCCAAATCACTGCTTACGCCCTGCAGCGTGGAAAAGTTGCAGCATCAGAAGCACTTGACTCAGAAGCAAGCAAGCGCCTGCAGCAGTTTCGCCAGGATTTCACACAGGAGGTAAAAGAGGGTTTCAAGAAAATTGAGGAGGAAAGCAAAACCAAGAAGTAAAGGAGTCTTGTGAAAGGTACCCTTGTTCCCCTCCTTGAGGTTTTCTTTGTAAGCATAATCAAATCCTAAACTGTCCCATAACATCAGCATGCCTGAGGGAGCTGCAGACACTGTACAGACCGATGCTGAAAAGTCGACTGAGGAGAAGAAGCCCAAGTGCAAGGCTTGCTGTGCATGTCCAGAAACCAAGAGGGCACGGGACGCTTGCATCATAGAGAATGGCGAGGAGAATTGTACAGAACTCATAGAAGCTCATAAAAAGTGTATGAGAGAGATGGGATTCAACATTTAAGAGTGAGCTTGTGATGTGTATTGTTTGTGCATTCAGGTATCCTTTGTGCAAGGTGTGAAGATTGGTATTGTTCTTGAAATTTTGCAGGCCTGAAACAAACATCTTTAGTAATCAACGTGAGTCTTGGGTATGATTGGTAACAATGACAACAACATCGCAGAAGCACACACTCTTTGTGGCAGAGCCAATGGGGGACAAACCTGTGACTGAACTGGCAGGTATTGGTGAAGTTCTGGGCAAACGACTGGAGAACAGGGGATTTGATAAGGCTTATGTTGTCCTTGGGCAGTTCCTTGTACTAAAGAAGAACCGGGAATTGTTCTTGGAGTGGCTACAGGATTTGGTGGCTGCCAATTCCAACCAAGCATCTGAATGTTATCAGTGCTTGGCTGACTGGTGCAGTGAGTTCTTGTGACGAGTCCAAGGTTGTAGTAAAAACTTTGGGATATCCCACTTCTTGTTACCATTGTTGGTAGGCAGTAGAGATTTGTCTTCAAAGATTATTGTTCCTGATAAGTAGGGCATCATTTAATAACCAGAAGGTTGTTCAGCCGTTGTACTTACTGTATCACACAACAGGGACAGTTAGTCAGCCATGTCGCACAAAGGTCACTCAATTGTTACAATAGAGTCCTTGGACTCAGGCTTTGAGCCACGCACATATAGGCAGAACTCCCCGCTAGATTGTTTCACTAATGCATTGGTGCTTTTGAGACCATACTTCAAGGTAGCCAATCGAAGATTGCCACATAGAGTCCTGTCATCCATGGCACCCCCTTTGTTTTTCCCAGAGTTCAGACGTGTCTATTCTGACCTGAAAGGCCCATTGTTAATCATGGTATCCCTAGCCACCATCCTTCTTTATGGCCTGTACAGCCCTGAGCGGACACTATTGTGGGACCTAGCAGCAACAGCAAAGCTAACTGTGGGATACTGGCTGGGTCTGTCTATGATGGCCTTCCTCCTGGGATACTTTTGCCAGACAAACCTCACATTGCCACAGTTCCTCTCTATCACGGGTTACAGCCTTACTGGCCATTGCTTTGTGCTGCTCATTGCCGAGGTACTGCACCAGGAGGAGAACCATGGAGTTTTCTTCTTTCTTACAATAGTGTTTGGGGGGCTTGCCACTGGAAGGCTTGTTATTATCATCCTGGCTAGGACACCTGGGCCAGCACAGCGCCTTGTAATGTGCTCTGTTCTGGCCTGTGTCAATCTCATGCATCTTATCTACATCCACTTTGCTTGCATGAGGAATAAGTTTCAAGTTTAATTTTTTTTTTCTCTTTCTCTTTCCACAAGTGGTTTTGAGTATTCAGATTTATTTCACTCTAGAGGAATTTAATGTTGCGTAACTCTTCATGAGACAGAATTGGTAACAGATTTTAAGCCTTACAATGAACTTGTTTTTTTAAATTTTAATTCATGCAAGAGAAACCTATGTTGATCTTGTTATTTGTATAAAGGACGACTGAACATTAAACAAGCACTTTGATGTAGTTCTGCCTGGAAATGACTGTAAATATGCAAAAAGTAATAAAAAGAAATGATTCTTTGTCTTGAATTTACTTGTACACTAACCTTTTAGTTCCCTTGGGTAAAGCATGTTATCATGTACCAAGAACAAAAACAATATAGAATAAGAAGCATTTATATCAAAGCTGATGGTTTAAAGAAGATTTATCCTATGACATATAAGTAAAGGTTACTGTACACTATGTAAGTAGAATTCCAGTGGCTAATTTTAACAAATGTAAATTTAATTTTCTCAGTTCTGGTTTTTATATTTATAGTAAGAAATACATTACTTACAAACATCCCAAAAGTTATTCAAAGATGAACCATTGTATTGAAGACTATCAGATGAAAATGGTTTATATTTTTATAGCAAAAGTTAGAAGGCCATGACAAAATTGATTCATTTACAAAATTGGACAGAATTTGGAAAAATTCTATTAATAATTGACTGATTTATATATGATTCATTGTACATTGTGTAATCTGAATGATTTAGATTTTCATTCATCTGTCTGTTATCAACAAATCTTTGTTCATAGTTAAAAATAAGTTTTTAAAGTGAAAGCAAGAAACTAAATTTACACATCTCAAGGGTCAGTAAAGCAAGAAGATTAACATCAGTTCAATTTTTTATTATTTTTGTAAGATTTTTTTTGGTAGTGATGATGACGAGGACTGCAGACATGACTAGAAAAAGAAAAGAAAAAAAAATGGAAACACAATGATTAATTCACAATATATACAATCTGGGAATCTTTACATACAAAGACCTCATAAGCTTTCTATTAAAACAGATGTCAAAAAAGATACATGATATCGTAGATTTACACACCGCTCAAAGAGAAAATGTTTAATATGGAGACAAAGAAGTCTATCCGATCTCTTGTGTAAACATCTGAATGATGGATAATTATAATGATAATATATGGAGCAACCATAGACAGAGTAAAATAAATAATACCAGGTTTAAGAACATGTAACAGAGATAATCATATAGACAAAGACAGACAGTAGGTAATTAGATGGTAGTCTGACAGGAGAAGGGAAAATGGCTAATGTAATGTAAAACATTACAGGTACAGGATACTGCCATATACAAACTTGAGCTTTGATAATGACTGATGATTCATAGGGTTAAAACAGACCACGCTCCTAATAAAACACTCCTAGTGAGAGACTTGGGGTAAAAATAAAAAGTTAAAACGTAAGCAAATTCAATAACAATCCTGATTTGTCAATATTGTACAGAGAAAAATAAGTAGGGAGTGAAGACTATGCACAAAATACTGACCGAATTTTATATATAATAAAACATCTCAACAATACATATAACATCGTTGTAACAGATTTTCATCACAGACTTGGAAAGACATAAGACTTTTTGTGTTATTTGCTCTACTTCAGCACTTGGATTCTATTGTCATTACTCTCTTCTTGAGTAGCCTCTAGACTACCGCCTCAAAAGCCTCATTCATGCTGGAAAAAAAGGTCACCCTCTTGACTACAATCCCCCTCGGCTTCACACATCACACACGCCACAGAGAACTTCTCATTTCTTTCTTCACAACTTCACTTTTCATGGAGACCTGTTCACAATTTGTTCTCTCCATGTCTCATCCATAGTTCAAGTGAGTGCTATGGAAAAAAGAAGGAATAATTTTTTTTCTCAGGGATGTGTTGATTGCTAGCCTCCATGTTACTGTAGGTGCAGGCAAAGAGAACTATTTCAGACCAGGTTGACCTTTGCTGAGGTCTCAGGTCAGGACAACAGCTTCCCTCATCGCTCCTATCCACCTGTAAGGAAGTGGGATGCATTTTGTTATTTCATAATTTCAATTATATTGAAGTATGACTGTAAATGGTACAGGTTTCATCATTAGTAAGTACTACAATTAGCATTGGTCAATACTATTATTATTATTATTATATGCAACCAACCACCACAAAATGGGTTAAAGATAGGCATGTAACCTTTTCAGCACTTAGACACAATCGCATATTTTGGTAAAATATGGTTAGCATTTGATTGCACCAGTGATATTTAAAATCTTATATCTAACATCATGGTTTATTATGTTACCATGTAGTTTAATATAATTGTTTTAACAAAAATGTTTAAAGTCAAACATTCTGACAAGTGAAGGATAAGTATTACATTCACAGTCAATATCTGGGTCAAGAGATGAACTGAATTAAATATTTATAAAATCTTCCTT